ACAAGCCAATCAGGGCATGGGTCATTCTGGCCTTCAAATTACACTCTCCCACCCTGCGACCCTCAAATCATGAAAGACTGATTGCAACTTGTACATACAACCCCCGACAGATGATTACTCACAGTAAGGGCCAACATGATCTCTCGGAAGTTCTTGTTTCCTACGATTCTCTTCTTAATAGCTCTGACTGAATCTTTGGGCCTGGGAAAATAAAAACAAATTTGCATCATGAGATCAGTATCTTGATATTTAAATATGAAAATAAACAATAATCTTTTTTTTATGTTTGTTTATGGTTTCATGGCTCGCGTGAAAAAATAACTAATAATAACTTCTTTATAGATCTAACTACTACAAACACATTGCATTTCAGACGTACAGTGACATTCCTCACAGCATTACAAACCAAACAGCGAAACCGAGACCGGCCTTAAACATAAGTAGATCATTCAGCCACAAGCAGTTGCATGGAAAAGAAACAACCAAACCATAAAGGAAGTGACACAGTGAAAACAAATACAAAAATAAAACATGCAGAGGTACATACAGTACAGTGCCCTGGAGCATAATGTACTGATTCATCAGACAGATTAGACAGCGTGCACCAGATGGGGATAGTTAGTAGCTTCTTGATGAAACCATGTTACTTGTGTGGGTAACCTACCCCTCGTCCGTCTCATTGATGATGTCACATATCTCCATGTTGAGCCCCCAGTCCTCCGACTGCAGAGAGCCGCTGGTCGCTCGCTCTGTCAACAGAGAGGGAATCATGTGAAGTTACAGTTACACAGTAAAACTCAAATGAGAAGAGATGTCGCAATAACCAGAAAACTACCCTCCGATAGAATTCCTGTAAGATAATGAAAAGTCACACGGGTCATTTTAGCAGGTCTTACCAGTTGGTGATGATTGACACCACATGTAAAGACAAAAATGACATTTTATTTTAAACCAGAATGTTGCACAGGAAATTAAATTATTGTTAAAGGGAAAAAAACACCCCATATCAATTAAAATCTGTTTATTTGGGTTTTATCACTTAAGTTGAACCTTTGTATTAAACACACAGTCATTTCATCCATTATTCACAGTCTTAATGCAGGCTGTAAATAATGTGCCCCTGCTCGTAGATGACTATTTGGATGCGGTTGGATAGGATTGGACAGAAAATGGCCTCTTACTGACAGCACAAGCAAACAAATACAATTGTCATCAAATAATAATTCTAAATGGTTTAATTAGCACCACCATTATCAAACAAGGCCTCACACAGGCTACCTTTATAATATGAATAATATAGTGAGATCCTTACTCCTACAGATAACACTGTTTTTATAGGAACCCTTTGTTTATAATATAATATAATACGCTGGTGGAGAGAATGGGTTCTCAGCTGAAACATGGATTTCCCACCAAACTATTTAGCAATCAAAGCCAGCTTTCTTTGCACTCCACCTCTCACAGGCTCCTCATAAGTCTCTAAATCTCCTTAATTCCTTTCCACCTACACCCCCAACACTTCTCCAAACAAACCCTCACCACTGCCTTTCTCAATCCCATATTACCCCCCCCTCCCTCCCTCTCCTCCCTCCACTTCATGTGACTGTCAGCTGCTTCTGTTCTCCTTCGCTGCAGAACTAGCGGTGGAAGCCTCCCTGACATTTATGTGTGAGAAAGTAAGTGGATGAGATAAGAGGAAGGAAGGCTAGAGATGGGTGTGTTTTCATTGCTTAAGACATCTTTCCAGCCACCAGCAGCTCACCTAAATCCTTTCTGTGGATGTGTTGGCTTTACAGTTTTACAGTTGCTCTGCCATGATGAGGAAATACTGCTGCTTTGAAAGTTGTGTAACATGCCATATGCTTGTTGAAGAGGACCAGTAACACTTGGGCATAAGGTGTGAAACTGTAGCTCGACAAAGTACATCAGTGATTAAGGAAGTGAGAGGAAACACCCACGGCCTCCTTGATTCGCCACATTAGTTGTCGCTTAACGTGCAGCAACCAATGGCGTGCAAGATTGAGAGGAATAAGTCCCGCCTCCGTCGAGTCATCGCTCTAAAGACATCTTTTTTATGTTTCTGTCAAATTTGGAGTTCATTATTTAACATTTTAGATTAAGAAAACCAACATTTAAAGTGTTGCTAAGTTGCCTTACATCCCCGGCAGTGTGCTGATAAAATACTGCGACATGTTGCTGTTCATTTTTTTAATTAAATGATGTGAAATTGAGTCCAGCGGCGAACAAATCCTCGCATAAATAGTTTCAAAAGCAGCTGCGACTTACCGATTCTCTGACCGACGGGCGTTGAAAACGGGTTTCCTATGAGAAACTCCATTTTCTCCCCGAGCGAAAACATCCTCGAGAATGTCAAGCGTCCACTATGTAGTAAAGTAATGTTGCAACTGGTGAGCTCCAAACTGCGGTGTTTCCTTTTGCTTTCAGTGTCTGCCGCTGCCTCAGAAGCGCACGGGCTCGATAAGAGGTAAGAGGTCACGTGAAAACACACACACACACACAGCCAGGAAACAGCAGACATCAACACAGAGGAAAATAATCCCGTTTACAGCTTTACACCTATAGGCTATATATTTTAAATGCAAATAAGCAGGCCTGTTATCAACAAGATGCACATAAAGGATCAAAAGTAAAACGACTAATTTTGCACAATGGCCCGTTTCAGAGTGTTATACTATTGGCGGTGGTGGAAGAAGTATTCTAATCTTTTACTTAAATGAAAGTAGAAAAAAAGGCCACAATAAAATAAAATATTTCAAAGTAAAAGTCCTGCATTCATGTACCAAAACAGTATTGGCTATATAGGCCTATACTGCCTAGAAGTTTAATCCATAACAATGCACATTATTTAAACTGTTTTAGGTTTCATGTAAAATCTTCATCTGAAAAGTAAATATAACAGTCAGATGAATGCAGTGGAGAAAAAAAGTTTGTTTAGCCTGATGTAAACCATGAAAATGTCTTGAAAGTTCACATTGTATATAAATATGACTAATTGTCTTTTGTTTGAATACACACTTTGATCTTTAGAAAGGTCATCAAGTTGAGTTTCTTCTGTGAATTTGAGGGGCTCCAGAAAATGATTAACACTTTAAAGTATTTTGGGTCACTCCTTTAAAGTGAATCAATCATGAGACTCAGCCTGTCTAAAACCACTGTGCTAAAAATGTGAATTTCACATGTATCTTTTTCCAAGGATTATGATCAAGTTCTTTATCTTCATGCACAATCACACATTTAAAGTGAAGTGAGTCGTTGACCACAAAATTCTTAGGTATCAGCCTCACCTCCAACAGTGCTCTTACAGATATGTATGAGAAATACTGTACGTATAAAGAGAAATTATGTAAGTGGAACACAATCTGATTAGGAAAAGAGATAAAATAGTACAGCAGCTAGACTACAGGAATATAATACAACATAAAAAATACATATAATAAAATATAATACCGTGGTAGACAGGAGAGTGATTGTAAAATGTATAAACTGTAATGTAAACAGGTTGTGCAGTAATGAAGTAAACGTATATACATAATGAGAGCAGGCTGTCAACAGGTATGAAAATAAACATAGGCTGTGATGGATAAACAGGTAGTAAAATAAATATCTATACTGTGATGTAAGCATGTGGAGTGCTGTAGGAAAAGTACACACAGTACCAGTAAGTATGACTCAGCATGACTCCATCACTGGGGATTTTTCTTTTTTTCTTATTTCAACATAGTCTGTCCTGCTGCTATACATCTGAGATCAGATAATTAGATTATTTATATACGAATACAAGGTGAATATTTGTACAGGAAACCGCTGCTTGAACATGGTCCACACTGGTTAAATTTCCTGCTGAAACAAAGTGATGAAACAACTTTCCTAGCTTCCGTCTTTTTCCAAGTTGTGAAACATATATCCTTTCAGATTGTATTTAATTGCTGTTGCAGCAATGAGATATTTAATGTAAGGACAATAATCACAAATGCTGACAAAATGTACACCTCATTTTCACATAGCCTGTTCAATGCAGTCACAGGCCGGTAGGACATAAGACCAATGAGAGAACAACAGCCCCTGTACATGCAGAAGAAAAGGTTGGTATGAATAATATGCATATAAGGGGTAGATCAGTATAAACTGTGGTAATTCTCATGAAATTCCAAAACCAACGTTTGAGACCATACATGTTGTGGGTGTGAAGTGCTGGTTCAGTTGGACACTTTAACGTCAGCAGCACCACCTAGCGTCCTGAATGCTGCCATGACAATAGATTTTTGGTCGGTTGCTTACTGAAAATAGTAATCATATGTTAAAAGCTACTGAGTTATGGTTTATGAGTCTTATTGACTAAGCACTCATTTGTTTGTTCCTCATCTTCCATATTTCTATTTTTCTGATGTTCTGAAAACACAATAGAGATTGTTTCAGTTCCTCTTGATTCTTACAGCACAAAAACTAATTACTAGCACTGCCTTTGGTAAAAATCACATAAAAACACAATATTATCCCCTCAAAATATAGAGAGTGTGTGAAGAAACTGACTTCATATCAACCTATTTTTGCTCAAATATTTTTTGGGAGTTATGAGCCTTTATTTGAGGACAGAGGAAATGAGATGTGGAATGACATGCTACAAGGTTCGGGAAAAAGTACTCAAATGTAAAAGTACTCAATATATCTGCATATCTAATCATATATAGGACTATATAATGATGTGATATTAGTATGTAAATAAATGATTATTTCTCATGCATTAATATGTAAGCAGCACTTTATTGTTGTAGGTTTGTAACACAAAGCTCTTATCTGTGTTTGTTTAGGTTACAAAAATATCTGTATTTGTATCTGTATTGGGATTACACCGGGAATTTTAGCTGCCAACAAACTGATATAGTATTTTAACCATGTACCTGAATTAATCTAATAATAAATTATATTCAAACTCCATTTTCAAATAAATAATAAAAAATATAAGTCTAAACTTAATCTAAATAAAAGCTGTGTAGCTGAAGGTACCAGTGGAAATTAGACTTTGTTGGGAAAATGTCAGAATTGCATTAGGCCATATTACATGGTTTTCTTTATACACTGGAGGCTGCTCATATAACAGCAATATAACAGCATATAAAAGCAATAAGATGTGATTAAATAACATGTTTAAAAAAGGGAGATTGGGAGAAGGTAGAAAATACATTTTGTTTAAAATGTCTGTTAAAAATTAGGAAGCTATGGACACATATTTAAAATGTTCCCTTGGCTCATTAGCATGTATTTTTTGAGATGGTTCCTAACCTCAGCTTCTGAGTTTTCCTTCAAGTCCACCCAGTGCAGCATTCAGTATCCATCACAAGTTTTGATTTGGCTACTAGCTGTTCCACTTTACAAACAACAATTGCCTAATGACTGTGACACTAAAGAAGAAGTCTGATCTGAAGTTTATGAGATAAGATCTGATTAAGTTTAAGAAGCGCCTTTTGGATGTGATTTCTAAATGATTTTATGATGATTTCTGTGTGTTTTTTATTATGGAATAATTCCCATATTATTTAATTCATAAATTGACTGATTGTTTGTTTGTGAAAAATCATAAAATATTGAGATTGCTGCCACAGTTACTCAGAGCCCAAAGTGACACCTTCACAATGCTTGTTTTGTCATACAAATACAAGCCTCACAATTATTAGAAATAAAGAAAAACAAGTAAAAAGAAAAGCAGCAATCCTCACATTTACCATTGACATTTCTGAATGGAAAACGGCGAAAACAATTATCAACCAATTGATTTTCTGTCAGTTGATTAATGTATTAATTCATTCAGCTCCTCTTGTTTATACTGTTGAGTAGTTTAATCTGTAACAAACATAATATTTATAAGTAAGTGTAGTGGAGTAGAAGTATAATTGTGTAATTAAGTACACCACTGCTTCTCAGTTGACCATGTTTATTCATATTATTACCATGTTACATGCTGACCAGAGAAATGTAACAGTGTGTGAAAATGAGATGCAGTTAGCTGCAAGGGTACATTTATTATCCATAGCCTACATTTATATATATGTGTGTATTCTAATCGCTATTTCCTTATATGTAATCATACTTTTGAAAAGACCTTTCAAGAACAATTTTAATGTGAGCACATCCTGTGTGTCTTTTTGTATTCATTCATTATCGCCACTAGGTGGCAGCAGCATTGAATCTGCAGTATGTCTGTGTATCTGGGACAAGAGCTGTCTAGTTTTTGTTGTTCTAGACAAACAACCCCACAATGACAACAAAGACACCATGTACTAATAGACCAGACTAGACTAGACTATTATGGTGTATTACCCAAGTGGGGAAATAATTAAAATCAAGTAATTATCTCTTTCTTTAGTAATTCCCACTGTTGTAATCCTAACTTAGGAGTAATATCTGTCCATGCTGCATCCATACAATGTGCCTCTGATGAGGAAGATAAAGTATAAATATTATGTAAGATTAAATTGAGGTGTTTTAGTAGGACATTTTACTTTCTAAGATCCAAACATGTGATATGTCTGTTTCTCTGGGAAATAATAACAATGGTGGTAATGTAAGGGTGGTGTAAAAACAAACTACCACCAATTATTGATTCCACGCCTGAGCATGCACACACAGACACACACGTTCAGAAAACATTTTTTCTTTTTTTTTTATTCTTCCTGCTTTAAAACACAAGAGTCACACAGCAAATAGAAAGAGATAGAGCATGTTTTGATTGAACCAGTAACACAACACATTCTTAACAAAATCTGTGAGAATGTGAAGATAGAAGTTGGTGACCTTTGCCCTCAGAGTTACATTGATCCACAGATACCCTCAGGCCTCCCTCTAATGCTGTTATGACCCCAATAACAAAATAAAATGATTGTTTATTCTCAGTTATCACATTTATCAATCTCTCAACCAACAACAAAAACAGATTTTACATGTAAAATAACGACATTTATATTACATAACACTTCCACATCGTCTTACCTGGCGCACACCTCTCCTCTTAAAGACACACGGCTCTTCTCAAAGCATTCTGGGCTCAATTGATCTAAAAGTAAGATTAGAAAGCCCAGGGGGGGATGCTGGCTCACAGTGTGGCCGTGAGGAGGAGAAAACCTGTGTGTTATCTCCTTTCTCCAGGCTGTACAACCCGGTATAATGTAACAACTTCAAACCCTCACACCTTTGTTCACACAATAGGTCCGTATCAGGCCCTGTGGCCAATGCCATTCATTCACGGGATTCCTTACAATACATTAGTCAACAGCACATGAAATGTATAGCAGGAGGAGAGGAACGGTTTACTTAGTGTGCTCATTTCATGTTTGGATAAAAAGCAATTTTAGAATGAATATTTAAAGGAAACCTCTCTCTTTTCTAGACGTTTCCAGCAGGCTCTCACTCCTGTGGTTGAGGAGAACATTATGCCTGAACTGCTAGAAAAAAACCACACACACATAAACACGTTTTATTCCACAACTGCCACACAATAAACGGCATTACCCATCCCTAATTTCAGGAGATTAAGCCTAGGAAATTGCATGCATGTATGAATGCACTTGTGTGTGAATGTGTGTGTGGTTGCACTGGTTGTAAATTGATCCCTCCTACTCTCGCTGGTTCGTTGTGCAGAGGAGGGGCGAGGAGGAGGAGGAGGAGGAGGAGGAGGGAGCTGAAGCAGGAAGGAAGGCAGGCAGAGAGGGAAGGGAGGCAGGCTGTGAATGCTAACAAGCCCCGTCGTAATCATACAGCTCCGTAGGTAGGCTTTGATAAAAAAAAAAAAAACGGTCTTGCAATGGAGAGGAACGACGACCACTATTAAACACCTACTATGCGCCAGTGCCGCGTTCGCCCTGTGCGCGTGCAGCAGCCTCACCGTCGTCGGCACGTTTGATCAGAAAAAACCGTCTTTTTCCGCTGAGTGAAATGTATCGCGACTGCTCGGGATTCACATTCTGACAATGGAGATTGAAAATATCGTGGCCAACACGGTTCTCCTGAAGGCAAGGGAAGGTAAGCACAGCTGAATGGCTAAATGAGAATACATTTAAATGTGTTTTTTTTTTCCTCCACCTCAACGACATGGCCATGGACGAGCCCGAGCTTTCGGCTGTCCTCCTCGGGATTTATGCTTTCTCCGTCTCCCATCCCTGCGCAGCGCTTTGTCTCCGGGCAAACGTCAAACATATTCCGTTGAAATCAGCTGTTTGTACACTAACAACACACATATTTACCGGGCAGGTTAATGTAAGGCCCAGCCAGCAGGCTGGAGATGAACAACGCAGGGAGTGTTTGCAGCATCGCGCTTTTAAAGCAGCGTTGCATTAGAGGCTGTCGAGCAAATTTTTTCACACAAGCACCAGTGGTTTTGTGGATATTTACAATTTACGATGACATAACGCATATTTAATGTTATTCCCATTGCATGGTATTGAGTGTGGACCAAAAGATAGCTGCGCAGTGGGGCTCTGTGCCTCAGTACAGCCCCTTACCTGTCATTATAGGTTTCGGTTGTGTTTAAAGCCTAATTAGGAAGGTAAAGTGAGCGTGTGGTAGCTATTATTTGACGCAAAAATACGCCACCGCATTGCCGTTTGGCTGTTGATTGGGAGCCACTGGGACGAATTCCTAATATTGCAGTGGGAGACTGGAAGAAGGCCCACCATGTATACCCCGGCGGCCCAGGCAGTGCTGTAGCCCCGGGTGTGCACGCTGCTCAGTGGGCCGGTGATCCCGCAGCAGCTCACCTGGAGGTGGGAAAAGAGGCGAGTATCCATCTGTTTTCCATGAGATGGCAGAGCAGAGAGGCTACTTTGTAGCCAGTGAGTGGGCGCAGGGTGGGTGTACAACACTGTATCAGCTGCCAGAGGAGGGTAAAAAGGTGTTATTACTGCTCATCGATTTCCACTTGTGTGTTTTTTTTTTTTTGTTTTTTTTTCCTTTTCTTTCTCTCATCCAATCAGATCGGACACCAGCAGAAAAGGGTCTGTGGCCTCGGAGCTAGTTGTGCAAGTTGATCCATTTTATTCGACAGCAAAGTAGCTCACAGTGCGAACATGGCTCGGGGGGTCGCGGTACGCAGAGGCCTTCCCTGCTTATATGGTTCGCATTATATTCGGACTGCGTTTACAAGCCCAAACGCCAACACTCCTGTGAAATGGATTATTCACAGCAGCAGTGAATCCATTTCATAGCAGCAGCTGCTCCTTACGAGGCATCAGGCTTTTCTTTACCTGCCGTTAAATGGTGCTTGGCGTGTGTTTGCCCGTGAGGTGATTGTACACTGATCGGATCTACAGGCTCACTACCTGTCAGTGTCCTCAGTCTGTGGATCACCAGAGGCTCCAAAAGGCCCTCAGTGATGAGTGTGAGAGCGTGAGCCATGCAGAGAGTAGAAGGAGCTTGGTATGTCTCAATATGTGGCCCAAGTTCACCGTAATGATAATCCCACTGAGGCCGTGAGATCTGTGCTTGTGGTTTTGATGATTCAGTAATCCTTTTAGTCGTTTCTCAAGTTATTACCAACCAGTTATTTGGTCTCAATACTTGTGAGAACAGATAGGTTTCATACAATTAAAGGTCCAGCGGGTAACATTTAGGAGGATATGTATGTGTTCATTAGTGTAAAATGACCTGAATGTAGGAATCTTTGCCTGAGAATTTATCTACCCCATGTTGAACTGCGATGTTTCTACAGTAGCCCAGAATGGACAAAGCAAACACTGGTTCTAGATAAGGCTTTTCACGTTTTGGCGACTAAATCCTACACATTGGCCCTTTTTAAACAAGTAATTGAAAAAATATAATCAATAGATTTATCAATTAAGAAAACAATCAGCATTTGCAGCCTTATTTTTTCGTATGTGGTTTGTATTGCATGGACACTACTCCGCACGTCAAACATGTTGATTATACAGTCAGTGTTGTTTTTTTTTTTTTATATTTCTCCCTGCTATACCATTCACTGTGTTAATTAGCATGCAGATTAAAACAGCTAATAGCTCCCAATTTATCTGTTTAGGTGCACGGGAGACTAATTTGATTGTAATTTTCCAGAGGTGGGTGTTTGCAGCTGTCGAAAGTGTTTGAGTATGTCACACTGACAGTTGTCAACACTGGCAGTCACCTTCATGCTACATGCCATCAAAGCCCCTGCGAGCAGCAGGCGGGTGCAGGGAGGCAGCTGCATGAGCTGCAGCCGCTGAGTCAGCAAGAGTTTGCCCTGCTGATGTGTCCTTGAGCAACACATCAAATCAGTTGGGTAACTCAGGAGACAGGAAATGATCCATTCCCAGCTTACTAATTAATATGCATGGTGCATAAACAATCATAGGCTGTGTTTGTTTGCCGATATGGAGCATTCTCAATCCCGTAATTAACTCTTGATTAAGACGATGCTACACCTGTCTGCTGCAGTCTAGAAAACGTTTGAGCTTGGTCATAAGTTGCTCATGACCTGAGTCTTTTTAGACAACTTTTACACACCTGTTGATGTGAAACTGGGTGGCCAGATTGAGAAGTGTTATGACAGGGTGTGTCCAGTCTGCCACAGTTGAAATGACACGTCAAGGGAAGTGGTTTGGTGTTGTAGAGATGACACCGCTCCCGCCACTCCCCACCCCTGCCTCGGTGACATTTATACATGCGTTTGGTACAAAACGTGGAAAGGAAATCGACCTTATTGACAGTATTTAGATTTTTCCTATGCCCTAGGGCCGCTCGGGCTGCAAGAGGTGACAGTTGCATGAGATGACAGTCTTTTACAGTCAGAGGAAGTTATTGCTATAGCTCCCCTGAGAATATATTAGAGAATTTTGGAAATGGTGTTTTTGAGAATACCAAGAGGATCACTTTTGGCATAGATAAAGCCCACAGTTTATGTGGATGTAAAAGCTCAGCCAAACATGAGAGTTATTTTTTCCAACACAGCAGTATGATTCCACATGGTCTCATACAATATAACATCAAGAGTATCTCATCAGTCATGGTATTGACAGTCTAAACCCCTTTCACTCACTTCATTAAGTAGCACCCATATTCAATATTTACCTATAAATTGTAAATTCCGACTGAGATATGAGAGGGCCTGTGTTGGCAGCTAATGTTGTTGTTATCACAGACCATATTGGTGCATATATTGGCTGATATTCACAGAAAACTTGTAGTGCATAATGCAGTTAAAAGCACTTGAGATTATTTAGAAACAGTGTTATCATAGTTTGTCCCGCAGACTCCACTGTTTACAATACTTTGCAGCACCTGAGTTGGCAGAGCACCCTATCATAGCGGAGCAGATGGCAGTGTGAAGTTTGTTGAGAAAAATTCAGTTTACTCTTCAGCTGCAAAATATCCTGCCTCTATTATATGTATTTGTCAGTGCGCTTTAATAGCCAAACTGGAGGGTCTTTTTGATTTCACAGTTTTCACATAAAAAGTTGGTTTATATAACACAGTGAAATCAGTTTGTATTTTAATTAGTAGCAAGCTGTGCTGAATAGCCCCTGGAAAATGTATACGAGACATATTTTCCTCTTTCAGACCTGAACAGTCAACGGATACAAACTCTAATCTCAACTATGACACTGTAAACAAAATGGTGCTGAAGTTGTACATTTCTTCAAGAAAAATCCACCCCTGTATGCTCTTGAATTATTAGAGATCTGCAGTCTGCACATTGCAGGAATTATTTTGTGAAACTGTTGCAATTTTTCTTTTCAGATTTCTTTCAACTTTTTTTGGGCTTTAGTATAACACATCTGTATTATATGATCTACTGAAAGACGATATCTTAAACTATTAATGCACACACTGTGTTGTGCACTGTTTTGTTTTGAGGAGGATCTGGCTGTTTTTTTTAGGGTACTGCTCTAGAGCAACTGGTATATTCTTAAAATGGACATTGGAACAAAATCCCATCAGTTGGTTACTCCTATGTATGATTTTGTTATATTTGTGGATGGTGCCACTGCTTATACATCAGGAGGAGATTGCCTACATTTCCCAGAATACCCATTGAGAGCCAGTGTTTACTTCTTCCCTTCAGCTGTGAGTTATAAATACAGTAGAGGTAGAGTATAATGGTGGGTGCATGGTCGCAGCACCACAGAGAGAATTCTCCCAGTTGAGGAAAGTTAGTTTTCAACACTTGACATGTTTTTAACTTAAACAATTCTGCAGTTAAGCTTTAAAGTAGATACACTGGTAATGTGTTGATGTGACGTTAAGTTTTCAATATCTGTGAATGATGAACGTGCATTGTGGGAAGAAAGAAGATGAAATCAGAATTTGGAGTTGATAAAAATGGCCAGCTATTCAGTGAAATAAACTGGTGTTAGTACTAACTTGTTTGCAACAGGGACATGAAGATGTGTTCACCACATACTATATCTGTACATATTCAAATGTGAAGAGTGACTGGACATAAAGAGCATTTCACCCCTCTTCACCTCTCTTCCTGGAATCAAATTTGACTATATCTGTCCGACCTGCTGTGTTTCTTTCATCACTCCTACTGTCTTCATAAAAAGGAAGGAATGTGGACAGTCCAGTGCTTACAGAAGAAACGTTCTCCTGCTTATATAACTCATTTCAATCGTACAAGTAGTTTTTTGGTTGTTTTCTGCTGAACATTACAGATGTAAGCGGATATACCTCTGCTGTGGGTGTCACTAACCTCTCTCTGCTCTCTGCCCCCTCTCCACCACCCTTCACGCTGTATGCTAGCAGGTCCCTCTCAGACCGCTTGTGAGGGTTTTCCTGTGACGTAGCCAGCGTGGCTTTATTAGTTTTGTGGTCATAGCTGGGCTAACACTTGTTGTCATCACTCTGGGGTGTTTCCTCCAGCTGAGGCTCATAAAACACATTGCTTTGTGACTGTCCCTTGATGTGGGACTCATTTTACAGTTATTACACCCACAAATGGGCTGTGCGGAGAAGGAGACGCAGTGTGTTGCGTACGCAGCCCGGCTCTATGGCACTAGCAGCGGCGCTTTGCTGGGTGGCTACTGGGATGT